AGCTAGAGCCTGGCATATTCCCAAATCACTCCTGGATCAGCCCCATGCTCCCCAGAAACACTTCAGCCTCTCTGTTCTTCCATGGGGTTTGAGTGAAGGAAATGGAACAGCCTTGTGGAAAGGAGTGGCTTTCAGTGTTTGTGGTGGTTTAGCTCAGAGGATGAGACAAGGCTGCCCTGGCTGGGTGTGGAGAGCAGAGCAGGAGGGGAGCAGGCTCTGTGCCCATGCCTTCCTCTGAGACACTGCACGGTGTGAGCTTTAAAAGCAGATGCCACCACAGGAGAGGAGGAGATGGCACTGCTGAGTCTGGTGTGCCCAGCATCCAAAAGAGGAGCTGACCTGGTATCCTGCGAGAAGGGCTGTGTCCTCTTCTGAAAAAGATGCAAGGGAACAGGCACTGCCTGGCTTTTGGGACTGGGGTCTGAGAGGAGACACCGAAACCAGGCCTGCTCCCTTCTGCCACAAGCCAGCTTTAGACACTTTGTGCTTCCAGAAAATTGCTTTGGTTTGCACAGAGCAACAGTGATGGCTCAGGTGGCAGAGGTGAGGGACTGTAGGGTCAGGGCAGCAGAGCTGGGGGCTCTTGGCTTCCCCAGCTGCCTGTTGGCACCACAGGCAGATTGTGCCACGCTGCCAACTCCCCATCTTGTGAACGAACCAGTGACCTGGGAACGGGGCACTGGCAGGAGACCCCAGGGAAGTCCTGCTCTCCTTCCACGTGACAGCTCAGCACACTGTGTGGGAACTGCTGGAGGCAGGACCGACTGCGATGGCAGGGACAGTACCTGTGCTGCCGGGACAGCCACGTGCTGAGCCCAGAGCTGCGCGTTTGCATCCTGCCAGCTCTCCTCCCCCCCGCTCCCGCTGCCAGGGGATTTTCCAGCGCAGGTACCAGCCGTGCTCCGGCGGCAGAGTTTTCCCAGCACACACCCTTACCCTGAGTCTATCCCGCAGTGCCAAACCCACCCAAACTCAGCGATGCCGGGCTGAATCCTGCTGGGGCACAGGGTGTCGGGGCAGCCCTGCTGATGCTCTCCAGGAGCCAGCAGGGCCGTGCAGACAGGGCTTTATCTGGGAGCAGCACCTGCCACACGGCTAATCTTGGGAGCACGTCTGCACTGCTTAGCGGGGCTGCAGTTGTGCAGGAGACAGAATTCATCTGCTTCCCCTCATCCACATGCAAGGAAAGGCCCTGCCCGCCCTTCTCCCACCAGCGTTCGCCTTTTATTTGTCTCACAGCCGCCCCTTTTCGCGCCGCCGGCGCTGAAAGCCAAGGAGAACTGGCAGCGCAGCCTCCGGGAGAGGGGGCAGAGCCTGCTCCCCCCGAAAAGCTCCTGCATGAATTAGGGGGGGTGAAGGCAGCCTTTGTGAGCCGAGCGGGAGCAGCTGGTGCAGCAGCTGTGTCCCAAACCCTGCCTCATCCCAGGAAGCGCCGGGCTGAGGCTCCCCGGGGATGGGGAGAGCACTGCCAGCCATGCGCTCCCGCCCGGCTGCTGGGCTTGCCTTTTCCCCCTTCCCCAGATGGAAGAAGCATTAACTGTGTGCAAACATCTGGTCTAACTGTTGCTTGTGCTTCATAGTAATGATGATATTGCAGTGGAAGGGCTCTGGAGAGTGGGGCCTGGAATATTAGAAGGGCCAAGTGTTAATTAAGTGTATTAATTTCCTTTAAGCAAGGCAGCGTTTCTGTTTGCGCTCTGCTGATGAAGAAATGAAGCACAGCGAGTTGATTTGATTGGTCACGGACATGCACCATATTCCTGCTGTATTTAAGGATGGAGGGATCCAGGGAAATCACGGCCCTGCTCAGCGTTGGCCATCCCCAAGGGAACTGCAGCCACTGCCAAAATATCCAGCATAAAATCCTTTAAAGCCAGAAACCTGTTAGGCCAGCACAGGGGCACTGCATGTCAGGATCTGCTCCGCGGCAGAGGAGTTAACTCATCCCTGCAAATGCCTCCTGCATCCCACGCACTGCTGGGAAAAACAGCCCTTCTCCTGCACAGCCCTTCTGTATCCCGGGCAGGTCAGGCTTGGCAGCGGGGCTGGGGCAGGAGCCAGCGCTGGCTCCCAGCCCTGCCTGGCAGCAGCAGCGGGTTGGGGGCCACTGGGCTCGGCCACTGACCCCCGGGGACACATGGGGCAGCTCATGGGGGGCACAGAGGGGTCAAACCCTGGGCTTGGCTCAGCAGGGGTTTGGGTGTCTGGATCAGACCCTGCTCCACACTTTCCTTATGAGCTTCCCCACATCTGGGCCCTGCAAAAGGCCTAATCTTTAAATGTTTTTTAATTTTTTTTTTTTTTTTTAATTAGCAGGATGTACTTTTTTCCTTTTTAATTTTGCTTCCTCATGCAGCAGGAGGTTATCAGTGTCCTGCAGGCAGGAGATCCTGGTGTTGGGAGCCGCCTGCCCTGTGTCCCGTGGGTGGACTCTCATCTCTCTCAGCATATGGGGCCACTCCCGGCTCCGTCTGCGTCCCTGTGTCCCTGCCTCTCCCCAGCCACACGGTCCCACAGCCGGAGACAGCGCCTGGCACGGTCAAGTGCAGGTTGTGCTGCCGGCAGAGCTTTTCCTCTGCCCTCTAAGGGGTTATCAGGCAGTCCTGAAGGAGCTGCCGAGATCCGCAGCTGTTTGGAAACACAGAATGCCGTGAATCATCGGCCGAACGCATGGAGCAGATTGCAGCATCCCAGTGCGCGCTGGACCCCTGGAGCAGTGAGGCTGAAGCCTCCAGCCTTGCCCAACAGCCTCATCCATGGTCTTTTGAACAAGGGAGGAGGGCAACCCTGCACTGAGCCCTTCATCGCTCCAGCACTTTTAGACTAAAATCCTGCAGTCGCCTGGCCCGCAGTACAGGAGAGCTCCTGCCCCAGCACGGCTGAGCACCACTGATGTCCCAAAGCAAGGCATTGCTGCGGGGGCCGGGCCAGGCTGGCCTGGCTGTCACCCTGGGCAAGGGGAACACACGGGGGACAGCCTGGGACACCCCGCAGAGCCCAACGCCACCCTCTTCCAGTGACACCCGTGGGTGGCGGAGTCCGCAGGGCAGGGCAGCGAGCTGGACTTTGCTCGTGGGTGCGTGCCCTGTCCTCCGGGCAGGGGAGCGGGGAGCAGCTGGAAGCCCATCACCCCGGCGGGGCTGAGCCCGGGCCGGACCGGCTCCGCCTGAGCCTTGAACTCCCCACGGCGGGAAACCGGGAGCCGAGGCCGGGTCGGAGCGAGGAATCCGCGGCGGCACACAAGAGGGGGACACCCCCGGGGGGGACACAAAGAGGGACACGGGAGGGGACAGCCCCGGGGGGGAGACGGGGGACACAAACAGGGACTGGGGAGGGGACACCCCTATGGAGGACACAGAGACACGAGAGAGGACACACCCGGGGGGGACACGGGGAACACAAACAGGAACGCGGGAGGGGACACCCCCGAGGGGGGGGACACACGGAGCGCGCCGCACCCACGCGGCGCCCCCTCCGCGTCCCCGAGCAGCGCTCCCATTGGCCGCCGCCCCGGCACGGCGCCGCTGATTGGTTACCTGTCAGCGCGGCCCCCGCCCGCCAATGGCCGCGCGGCACCGCCCGCCTCCCCGGTGGCCCCGGCCAATGGCAGCGCGCCCCTGCCTCCCCGCCGCGGCGGGCGCAGCCAATGGGCGGGCGGCGGGGCGGCTCGCGCCCCCTTTTGCGGCAAAAAGGGTTTT